AACGACTTGCTTGGGAGGGATAAACAATTTGCAAGATGTGTGCAAAATCTAAGTGGGCATAGGTCTACTAAAGTTTCTCACGTGTTATTTTCACAGAAGCGGGCCATGTACACGTACTGTAGGCATGCCTAGTGTTGATCCTAGTCCTACCCCTAGTCTTTTCCTTTCTCCGTGGTCTCAAGCCAGGCCTATGAATTTCATTCCTGTAAATTATAAGTTTAGAATAATAAGAGCAAAATACATTGTACATGTACTTACTCCATATCACGTAGGCAGGTAGGTGTGCCAGCGATTCCTCAGAGTCACAGACTAATTTCTTACAAGTTGTCACGATGATACACGAAGTCGCAAAAATAAACCGCTTAAAACGACCACCGTGCGCTCACGGCTCAGTGGCAGTATGGAGGAAGGCCTTCCACCATGCATATGCACGGTATACTACACACGTGTGCCACCGTTACCACGTGTTGTTTTCTAGCGCGTCTCACCCGCTCAGTGGTGTATCCTTCTGTTTAGCGTGAGTTTCGCGTAGTGACGTCACGCACGGAGCTCACTTGGTGCGCCGGCCGCGCCGCGCTTATGTCTGACCGCTTTTTGTGGAGCGTTGCGAGTGCGGGCGTTTCACAATAGTCCGACTCCAAGAGTTTGCAACGCGTTGGCCAATCACAATGCGCGAAATTTGTCGACCCAATGCGTGTTCGGAAACGGTCGACAAATTTCGTGCGTTGTGATTGGCCAACGCGTTGCAAACTCTTGGAGGCGCACTATTGTGAAACACCCGTATTCAGGTACTGGTTCCGCAATGTAAACAGTTAGTTACTTCTATGCCGACATAGAAATGAGATTTTCAATGGAATTACATTACACACGATCGGGACTATAGTCAAAAGGCCGATTTAGACAATACGACAATTACGTGATGCCGACTTCGTCAGAGTTTACTGTATATGGAAAAACCCATTTATCAACAAAATGTGGAACAAGTTGAATTAAAAACTTATGAAATTACCGCTTTAAATTGGATCTTTCACTCACTTGATGTTCATACATTTGCATGGTTAATCTGATGTCTAAAATCAGAATTCAAGAAAAAAGAAAAAATTTAAAAGGTGCACAGATTGTCACATTTTGCAAATGCAATATGCAAGGCAAACCTTATGGTTTTAAACAAAATTTGTCGAAATTTCTGGGAAGATTTTTAAGGGGTTAACCTTATGATTCTAGCATTTTCCCCAAACTATGCCAAAATAATAGTTTGGGCAATAAACCATTCCAATGTACTCTTTAAAATAGTGGCAAGCATTGCACCAGTAATTTGGAATGATGAAAATAGTTTTTATTAATTTCTTATAGATGCATTCGATAAATTGGTTCATTAATTAAACCAAAAACTACTGTCCTTCTCATAGCAGTAACTAAGGTAATTCCTTTGTACTCAACACACTGTCAACTGATGTAGATCGTTAAAAGGTCTCTTATTTCCATACAGTGTCAAAGGTCAAGTCAAATTGGCTTAAACAGTAACAGTTATCCAAACAGGAACAAAATATTATCAAACGGGCAACTTGGTTAATACATCATTAAACATCCGGTTCTTAGCAATCAAATTTGTATTCACCCACTTTGTTTTGCATCCTTTAAATTTATTTGTACAACTTAAAACTTGTTTGCAACGTTTACAAAAATTGTAAAAACCATTGTTTTTACTTTTGTTAAGGATGGACCAATGACAACTGGACGAACGGTTGTTATTATTACATGCACACATTTAGAAATTGATTGCCTTCATGAGATCAATGCAAAAGGAAAAATATCGCAAATGACAACAAAGAATGTAGAACAAAAACTGACAAGTAATTACATTAACATTTGACGATGTCCAGTTGTTTCCTGTTTCCATTTGTCCAATTAATTACGACATACATGTATAACTGTGCCTGGGAAAGAAAAAAAAAAAGTCCATCTGGCCAAAATCATTTCAAGCCAGGTGCTCACGTATCTTGCTTGATCAATTCCAAAAAGTAGAATAGAGTGGTCCCCTTGCATATGAAGCTTTCATTGATGCTTGAGTGGTTGTTCTCCCTGAAGGGCAACCAACAGCAATTACTGTAACACTTTCAACGTATTTTACAATACTTTTCACCAACATACAGTTTGTAATAATAATAAACAAATCTTTTTTCTCTTGAATTCACATTACTTTGTCGACAATAATGTACATCTATTTGCCAGCAGTGTGGTGACCAGAGGAACCACCTTTTCAAGAATATTTTCTACAAGCTCAGCCTAAAGCATCAGATACATGTGCCAATTCCGACTCCAAAAAACACACACATCTTGCATAAGCAATCTTCATGCTCATGAAACTTTGGGTTTTCAATGCCATTCACATTAAGAAATGTGAAAGCTTGTGCCTCTCATCTAAGAACTTTTTGATTGGAAACAGTTTTTGCCGGCAGGCAGTCTTTATGTTTAACTCGCATGCCAAGCTATTCTGTATCCAAACATTTGCCTCATCGCTTGAACACTCACAAAGTTTGACTTTGGTAATGTCAACATCAGGGATTTAAGTAATTTCTTTTAAAAAGGAAAACTATCAGGCAGCGGTCCTTAATATCACAGCATATCTAGTCGCTGTGTTATGAAAAAATCCCACCACAGTTTATCCTTTGTGTGCTACTTGTAAAGAGCTGTTGATGGCAAACGGGCACATAACAGAAATGCAGCACCAGTCCATCATGCTGCAGGGGGGCAAAGGTCATTCTTGATGACTTCTCAGAGTGAGGTTATCACCGGTTATTGCCATGGATAAACTTCTCCAACCTTCTGTGGTTCCGAGTAATATTTCTATGGCCTTTTCTAAGACAGGTTGCTCTTTTTTTTAACTAGCGGCTGTTGAAGTATTTGTGAACTTGCTGAAGAAGTTATGACAGCTGTATAAGCTGCCAACTAATAATCACAGACTGAAATTCCCTTCAACAGAATCCCCCAGTTTCCAGAATTCTATAGGAGTTGAGCCTGCCCTTTCTGAATTCCTTGCACAGGTTTGTATTACCAACTCTACTTAGTCTTCAAAGAAACGAATCACATTGGTTAAAAAGTACTCTCTCTACAACTTGTTACATAGCCTTGACACTAAGTGATTCCTTACGCTAACCACAGTCAGTATACCGCCACAGAGTTGGTGACTGCGCATAAAGGAGCTGGGGATTCGTAGGATGTAAACTCCCCTTCTGAAAGTTCCCAACACTACCACAACTTTGAAGCTCCTTTGGATATGACTCCAGAGGAAATCATCCCCCTAACCACTGCACAACATTTGTGAGTTGGTAACTGAAATATTAGTTGACTACACATAGCAGAAACATGTCTTCCTTTTTTTTTAATGGAAACCCTGTGCTGATACAGCCTACCATTAAATGTCCCGACAAATGGCAGCTTAATGAAGGAGAACGCATTGACAGTCTCTATTATTTTCCATTACTGCTGCATCTTTGTGTAAACAGTGTTATCTGTAACATGTTTGTAATGGAAATATACCTTGTGCGTAGCTATAAATTCACCTTCTCGAGTAACTCAGCAAGTTAAAACTTTCCAGCATTACAGCCGAAGCAATAAAATGGTGCCATTTTCATGTGCAAAATCTTTACAAGACTATCCTACACACCTGTATTGCTCCTATCAATCAATTTTCACAGATCATATACTTTGTCCTCGTTTTTGATATTTACTGATTTTGTTGAGACACCAAACTTTTGATAAGAGAATCAATTCATTTTCTACATTGACATCTTTACCTGTCTGGCCATAGTCACTTGCCACAGCGTTACCTAGAAAACAGACATTTTCACTTTTCCACTGAAAAAGTACAAGATAAAAATGACAGAAGTGCTGCCCCCCAAAAAAATAATAAAATAAAGCAAAAACAAAACACCAAAAACTATGCTACTGTCATTTCTCACAATCTAGCAGATGATAAACTCACCTAATATGTTTTTGATGCAATCACATTTCAACAATTCCATTTCAGATCACAGACAATTTTTCTTCTTTTCAAATAAATTTTCTTAAATATACTCAATTCATAAACCTATTCATATAAATCACTTATTTTGGCAAAAAGGAGAAATCCACCAAGTTTTAAACAAAACCTTTGACAAATGTTGGTGAATACAGTGCCATTTGCCTAGACAACACAAGGGAGACGAATTATGACAACATTCAGCAAACTGTTTGCCACTACTAAGCAGCCAGCCACACTACGAAATGTTCACAAATTAACACTTGACAGCTAAAAAAATGAAAAGAACAAAACACAAGAGATGTATACACTGGCTCATGAAGAAACCACAGAAATCCATCAAATCCAGCCCCAAATCCTCTAAAACTGAAACAACATGAAGAAAAAAAAAAGTAGCCACAGACAACAATCAGCCAGGAAAACTATTTAGTTTATGGTCTTGAATGCTACAAAGCAAGAAACATGAAATGAAGGGTTGCGTTCATTCAAAGATATGGAATCCGTCTCCAATTTGCGACAAGAAAAAGTACTGAAAGTAAAATGGTCATTACTGGGATGAACAAAATGCTATATTAAGTGTTGACAAATGAAACAGAAATTCTGGCGTATGTTTGAATGATGTTGAATCAAACCAAGAAATCAGTGGTACTGGGGAGTGATAAAATGCCCGTTCTCCTAGACCTGATTTACCTTGACCTGAGGCAAAAGTGCTTAGCAAGAACTTGTATTCTTATTCCTTTTAAGGTTATGATATGTTTGTTCTCATCTATGGGAATGTGGACAACATGGCAATTTTTTTTTTTTTTTGGTAATTAATTTTGTATGTGCTGAGTATGTGTCCAAATTGGAATTTTTGGGCCGACATCCAAAGGGGTTTAAAAAAATCAAAACCATGAATGCAAACAAATCACTGGGCAGCCTGGTCAGCCACCTGCTCAGTTTGGTGATGGTCGGTCTTCCTCAGGTGCTGGTCCAGGTGCGGCTGGTCCATTTCTGACATGCTTTTGCTGTGGGAACGCCTCTCTTTGGGGGTTTCACCGAGGGATGCTGCTCGGCCTAAGCGGGTGAGCGGGAGCGACGGTACTGCATGCAACACAAAGCACAAAACAAATGGCTTCAATGAATCATGGATAACATAGCAAGATGGCAAACAATGGGCAAAAGTTGGAACACGAACGATCGGTAGTAATCAAATGAGTGATGCACATGAACAACTAGTGCCAGGATATGATTTCGGGAGAAAAAAAATCATACGTATACATGTATTCCAAAGTCCTCAATCAAGTGCAGTAACAGCTATCTTTCTGAGTAAAGTTGGCACTTCCATCTATCGCAGTGTCAACCTTGGGTTTGAAATCTTGAGTATTTTTAGCCCAGTTGTCATCTCAACCCACGAGTGCCAAGTTTTCTCTCGTGCTGAGATTACCCTTTTTCACAATGCACATGAGCACAAAGGTGCTCAGGGGAATCATTTTCCTCATCACAGAGATACTTCTACAAACAAGCAGTGGTCACTATCCACCGAATAAAGTGTCCAAAAGTGTATCTGCATCCACTTGAGACACAGGTGAAATTGAAGGCTCAATTCAACCTGTCTGACATTACAATCTTTGGCAAAAGTATCCAAAGATTGTTGAAAATATTCTCCGGGAGAAAAAAAAATTGATTGCCAGGCTCCCAGAGTCAATCATCCTATTCACACCACATACCAAAGATGTCCAGCACTGTAAGGCAACAGCTCTCTTTTTTGTTTTGGGTTTTTTTCACAGCAAAAAGCAGATGGTTCATGTAACTGCTTTGAGGTTTGATCAGTCTATTGATCCACAAGTAATGAAGGCCAGAGCAACATTTAAATAAAGAAATATGCACAAGGTAATGCTCCGTCATAGTATATCAGGAGTGTACAATGAAATAAAAGAAGTCTGCAGTGCAGAAAATGATAACTTTTTCAAACAAGATATGAGAAAATGAAAAGATAAAATTTGAGTGAAAAACCTAACACTAAGAATGAAGTTAAGCAAGAGGAAACTCAAAATGAAAGAAAGTTCTTTTTAAGGATGCTTTGTATATTGATGGCAAAATGAAAATAATAAATGAACAAGGAAAGGTTTAACTTTTTTATCAGTGCTCTGCAAGAAATAAACTTAAGATTACGAGAAAAAGTATGTAACACTAAGGACCCATGAACATATACATGTAAATTGTTAAAAGAAAAATTCAAGATTTCACAAATGAACGAGTAACAAGTGTCAAAACACATGTCAAGGGTCTTCAAATTTACAACGTCGAGATAGCGTTTACAGTAAAATTTATGTCCGACACCTACGTGAACCCCAGAATTACATAACTAGTCCTAGGAATTATGTACACCTAAGACACAGGTTCTAATTGGGTAAAGCAGGCATCCCGGTGGTCAAGATGGGCCAATTACAGTCCGTAATCCATACTGCATTGGCGGGGAATTTTAGGCGTTTCTCCAAGTGAGGCCTTTCGTCCCAGTCGAGGCAGGGGAATGGCAGAGACTGGGTTTTTTGGGGTTTTGTTTTGTAACAAAGTCAAACCAGGAAAAGATAGACAGGGAGTACCAAACGGGGACAGGTGTTGGAGTTTAGGGGGTTGCAAACATGCCAGAAACAGCAAATAAAATAATTATGAATTGCAGAGGGTTTGTTAGTAAGTCGTGCATTTAAAACACGATTATAAACATTAATATTGATTTTTTAATTTAATTGTTTTTTTTTTCAAAATTTGTAGTTGACAATTTTAAAAGTGTCAAGAATATTTTACAATTTTAAATTTAGAATTTGTGAAGGTTGAATTATGTATAAAAAGTGTTGCCAAATTGTGTATTTTACAGTGCCATTTTTCCCAATATGTCAAAGACAACAGATGTGAAGGTATCACCCCCCCCCAAAAAAAGGAAAAAAGGTAAAACATTGCATACAATACCGGTACACAAGCGTTTCAAGTTGGAAAGTCAAATGATTAAAAACAAGGTAGAGAAAATGTGAAAAAAATCGTAATAACAAAAAATTAATTGTAGGATATGTATTTCAACATTTGCACAAAACAGAAGAAAAATAAATACATTTTGAAGAATCATTGATGAAACAGAGAGAGAAGTAAGGATGGGAAAGGATGTTAAAGAAATCAATTTGTTGGGGAAATTTTATTGGAAAGCATGGAGAGGGCGGTGACCCAAAAAACATGTGAGCCATGCAAAAAAACATGGAATTTTTTTTTGGCGGGGGGGGGGAGAACAAAAGAAAAGCAGGAGGAAAAAATCTATTAGTGATGCTGAAATATTTGCCAAGACAAACTTTGTCACTGGTTAGATGCTTCATAAGATCTCCCCTCTTGAAATCTAAGTCCACTGGAGTCTTCCAGGGTTCAAAATCACCATCTAAACTTGGGTTTGGAAAACATTCTCAGTAACACTGCTTATGTTGTCCTGAAAGCTCATGAAAGAATTATCAAAAAGAGAAAGCACAACAGCTGCCCGTTACATTTTTCACAGCTTCTGTGTATGTCATGTGGATGAGAGTCCTTGATCCCGTCTCCCTGGGAATTTTGCTTGCGATTAACTTTCTTTGCTGTACATTTCTTGTAATTTTTATCCCGTGAGCATTAGCAGGGTTAAGCTAACAAACTCGGTTGAAAAGAAATCCAAATGCTGCTTACACGGACACAGTTTTATGGGATTTGGGGTGGAATTTTTCAAGATGTGGTTAAAGTAATCATAAATTAAAGTAATCAATAATTTTAAGTTCAATATATCCTTTCAGTTTGAAGCGTCTAATTACAGTTTGTGCCATGGCTTCCAGACAATCACGTCTTGGAAACAAGAGAAACTGTAGAATGATTTTAAATGTTGAGAAGGGAAGTGTCTTATACTTACGTCCACCAATCCCTTGGATGAAGTACTGCATGCTTTCGGCTAATTTTTCAGGCTGCATTGGGGAATCAAAAACAAATACTATTTGAGAAATTGCTTCATTCGCATCTCGGAAGCAAGAACTCATTACTTCCATTTGATGACAAGAACTGACAAACTGAGTAAGTCCTACATATTTCAGTTTAAAGGCAGCAAACCACCGCTGAATTTTGAAATAGGTGTACCAATTCCCTCCATTAAAAGAGAGGTCTCCCTTGAGACCTCGGTACTCACATGCTCTTCTTTGATGTCACCGCCTACATCTTCTGCTTTCAGGAGTGTCTTGTTACCTTTGGGCAAGAAGTTGAATACCTTTTCCTGTGAGGTAGAGAAAATGGAAGATAGATTGGATAAATCTTGGTGATATTTATGGTCGCAAGTAGCTGCGCAAAAATTCAGTGCAAATGAGCCATGTTTTCTTTTCTAAGTTGTTTGTTAATCTTTTTGTTAATCTGACGCTGACATAAAGAACCACACCATTATGACAGGTTTATCAAAAATTACAAACTTTCTCGACCTGATGAGAGACTAGAGTTTTCCAGAACAGGCTTGGACAATTTAAAGGATGCTTGGCATGGAATGTGATGAATTTCACAACAACAGGCAGGAAAGAAAACAGCTGGGCCTCAGACAGAGGAGAGAGACTTGAGAATACGTACCACCTCACCAACATGAGGTGAGTCATGCCCCGTCACAACCAGCGTTGGAGTGTGGAGATTCTTCAGTAAGCTACTGATGTCAGTACGACTGAAAAACCAAAATAACTGATTAGCCTCCTGAATAGAGACAGTAAGGGACAAGCACTTAGGTGGGTCGGCAGGTGTTTTGCCTGGGGGTACATGTACAGTATACACCACCATACCCATGGGTATGATCTCACTTGACATTATTATCTTTCATCTTGTAGTCATTATCTTCGGAATGAGCAACAAAAAACTGGGGGTTGGGGAGGGGATTTTCATTCAAGTTGTATTCTCAGTTAACCAGTGTCAGGCTCATGGTACTAGCATCTATAGGCTCATGGTGCTGGTGTCCCTAGGCAAGACACTTTACAGAAACTGCTTCTTTCAATTATGAAAAAGGTTAGTTTTGTATTTGCTGTAATAAAACCAAAACGTCATCCATCTCTTATGTCCAATATAACAACAGATATGTGTATCATACGCATCAATCTACATTCACCAGAGTTGTCCATTCTCCTACTCTATTTGCCCCCTCTCCAAAAATGTCCCCATAAACCCAAAATGTCCCCGCAAACCCAAATGTCCCCACAAACCCAAATGTCCCCGCAAACCCAAGTGTCCCCACAAACCCAAATGTCCCCGGAAACCCAACAAGGTTGCATTTCTTCGTGCAAACTTCTAATTTTTCTTGCACCTTTTTTTCAGAACAGGAGCAACTTTCTGGGCCCTCTGGTGATTTAATACTCATTCTCTTAACTGACCTTTGGAAGACATTGATGAAAAGAGATAGGTTGTGGGCGTTCATCCGATCATATAGACTTGCATGGAATTCCTTAACAGCTTCTTCACTTCCCTTCCTCTGAAAAAAACACCACCACAACGGAAATATCAGTGTATCTTTCACTGTCACTCCCTTGCCACACACAGAAGCCACGCTCCGGCAACGCAATGGTTGATGGACATTGGGGGCAAAGGAGAAAAGCCTGTGTAAGTGAAAATAAGGTTCAAGTTCACGTCAAGATTTCTTAAGCGTGTTGGAATTTTTGACGGCTTTGCTGCAACACTTGGTAAACATCCCAAATAACTGAGCTGGGGTTAGAACAGCACATGTCAGAAATACTCCGCATGTTGTAACACAAACTGCAGTCAAAGAATGTTTAATAAGAGACAAAGGATGTCTACTTGTTGACTCTGGGCATTTCCTTAACCACAGGAAGTCAATATCCGGCTGACGTTTTTGCCTATAAAGCTCAAACCTGAAGTATTGTCAAGTTACAGGATACGCTTGTTTGAGGTGCGTGTGTGCACCTACAAAGAAAGAGAACTGACTCCAATTATCCCATAGAATTCCTTGAAAGTCTTAAGGGCAATAAGTAATGTTTGGATGTTGCACAGTCTTTGTAGCCTAGTCTCCATTACTGTTGTACAATGAGAATTCATCACGGCTGAATAGTTTCAGAGCTAGCTCATCGTTATAAATCACAATAAATATATGTAAGGAATCAGCAGCAGTGGTCAAAAACTGAGATAGCAAATTTAAAAAAAGCAAGGTTGCAAGATGGGAATATTAAAAATTATTACTTTACAGATTCAGTGACACAGAAATCAAAGGCATAAAAAATCCACATCAATACTGGTAGATGTACCAATATCAAGAATGTAAATCAGTAATCAATGTCAAATAGTATGCATATTAGCCAACTCAAGCCAACTCAAGTTTACCCAACCATGTCCCAGCCCTAACTACCCTGCAGAACAATTGCCCTTTACAGTCACGCCTGTTTCAATGTCACTATCCTTTGATGTGGCCGTTAATTCATATCGTCTGCACCAAGCACGTCCGCCAAACCACGACAAAATGCCAGATAGGAATGCGATGCATGCTAAGGCACAGTTAACCAGCAAGCATCTGGGGAGGACACGGCTGTTGGCTATCCCTGACAGGGACCACATACAAGGACCGATATGTATCAGGTCGACTGGTAGCAGTAATCATGTGTCTCCATTTCACTGCTATCTGTCTCTTGAGACTAGTATTTTCACAATATAAGATACCTTATCTTTCTTCATCATTTACTATCTGACGGGAGAATAAAGCCACATGTTTTCAAGACAACTTGCTTCTACAAGCACAGATATTAGAGTAATTTATTATGAAGGTAAGAATAATAAAATAGGGAACAACTTTATTCTTTTTTTTATAATCATACATGCAAAAACTGAAAGCTACTATACAAATAGGCTACAACGTAATTATCGAGTGTACATTAAAAAATTGTTTCTTATACTGTTACTGTTTTCTCCACATAGGCCGATAACTCAAACCTGCACCAAATGAATTTCATTTTAAATTATTCCTTGCAAATTAACTTTCTTATTGAGTTAGACTTACTCCACCATAGTGATGCAACAGCAGGTACTTTTCTGCGGAGGGGTTCATTTTGTGAAGCCTGTCTAGTTTCCATGTGGCAAACTGAAAGGTCGGGAAAGAACAGAAAAAAATCAAGGCCGGCACATGCTTTACAGACTTAGAAAAGGAAGCCATTACAAACAACATTCATAGATGTATTCAAAAGCCCCAGTTGACAAACAAAGATTTGGGCGACTAAATGACCACAATATCTTCTCCCATCTCAGTGCCAAACTTTTCCAGCTTCTTCAGTATAAGAAACATGAGCATTAAGAATCAAGTGTCAATTTCCATCCAATTCCGCAAACTTGCATAACAACACCTAAGAGTACCTTCTTTGTACAAGAGAAACCTCTTGGCCAGTAATGAAATGATGCTGCAATGGACACGGCTCCTAAAATCAATGACGCCACCTGGTGTTGTCGAGCCATTATAAATAAACTAGTGGCTGGACGATCCAAACGTCCCTCCCCACCTCCCCCTGCCACAGCAACTCCCACACCCCATCCCCCACAGGGAACCAAGGTGTCTGCTGACACAAAGGTGATAGGGAGCCCCAGGGAATGAATATCGACTGATCAGCAATTAATGAATACATCTGCTTCCTTACCGGTGTCAATGATTCATTGAATAATAGAGGAGAGATGACGAAGGTATTTTTAAGAGGTGGTGCAAAGTTTTCTTGAGACAGTATGATCTGCGTTCAACGTTAGAATACCTCAATTTTCCAGGGAGTGTCTTTGAACTCTTAGGGAATACTGATTGAACTCAATTGCTCCTGTACACTTAAACATCTTAAAGGGCACTGAGACAGTTTTCAGGACCATATTGGTGAAGCATATCAATCGATACTTTTTAAAAATTATAGTGTAACAAAAGAAATGGGCTTCCATCATTCCATCATGAAAAACTCAGAATTACGAGGATATTGGGGGGAAAAAAATCTTAACATACTGAAACGTGTAATTGTTGAGATTACTGCTAGGACAGATTGGAATCAGGTTAAGCTGTCAGTCCATGAATTCAATCACATAACGCTGCTCTGCAGACCTGTAATGTAATTCTGGTCAAGGGATGGATGTTTACTTATATCTGGCCACATTCCAATTGCAGGTAACTATGTTTAAGGGTGAGTGTATGTTGACAGCAAAGTAATTTTGCCACAAAGGAATTCTCCATGAAAGAAATGATTCAGTGTCAGGGTTTGTAATGAGAATGTTCAGAGGACAAAGTTCTACGAAATGAAGCTGTGCTCTCGTACCTTTCCCTCAGCCCATTCCAAGAAACCCGCTGAGCCGGACGTACACTCAAGGAGGATGAGACCCAACAGCCTTTTGCCTGCTAAAGCCTGGAACAAGACAATCAATTTGAAATTTGTTGAGAAAGATGTCTCAAATATCAGGAACATTTGATGTTGACAGTTCATTCATTCCATTTACATCTTCAGAAAAAAAAAAACAAGGTACGAAAATTGTAAGTGAAAGAAAACGTGAAATATAAAAATAGATGAGGACCACTGTCACCCCTGTACACAATATGGTACATGCGCCCCTTCACTGGTAGTGCATGTGAAATGCCAAGGTACATGTAAGGGCTTTCCCCTCTTGTCTACACTGGTTCCCACCCCCTCTTCTGAAGCCTTCAACAGAATTTACCATGCACACATACAAATAAACACTCCACAGTAAAAGGAGACGAAGAGATTAAGGACTGCTTCCATGGTATACCAGCACATTGCTTCTATAAACAGGGAACAGCATCAGCGAACCAGTGTCCTTCGTATGGAATGCTGTTGCTAGGGGGGCAGTGCCCTCTCTTGTTCATGTAAGGAGTCCAACGAGCCTATCTCACTTGAACTGTCATCGTTCAGCTAAACCTACCTTCTCTGGTATGTCGAATATAAATATATTAGCAGTAAATGTGAATCAAGAAGGAGATGTTACCAAATACACCGTTCTAACCAGAATAGGTTTAGCCTGGTAGTGAATAATGGTATTTGTTTTTCTTTGTTTGGATTCTGGTCACATTTCAAATTTTGGAACAAACATCAACTATCAGCCATTGATAGTTTCTCTACGAGATGGAATTATTAAACAATTGAACACTTACAGCAAACCGGACCATTATGGTTGCCCCTGCTCCTTCTCCAACGCCGATCAACTCTCGAGAATCTTCCACCCTGGAGAGAAAGATTGAATGAGTGATCAATTGCAGTCAAGGATGCATGGCCTTTGTTCGTCTGCAGTTTCTGGTCGGGTGACAAATATCCATGGATCCTCCTCGCTTGTTTTAACTTACCCAAGACTCTTTAAAATTTCCGGTAACTCTTCTGCAATCTGCTTCATGCTTGGGAAAGCGTATCTGTTGATGGACAATGTGAAAAAGGTTTCACTTCGATACATTTTCCAGAGTAAATCAAACTGTTTCGTAAACTCCTAGTTTGTCTAACAGTTGGATTTGAACATGTGGGAGAGAGATTTTTTGCTGTCTCCATACTGAGACAAGAATGCAAACCTGTCACGAAATGACCTAAACTACTCCTATAAATCCCATCTACTGATAGCAACTTGTATGTTTGAATTCAACCTCAAACACACAGACTTTTGAAGACTCAATCTAGTTTGAAATCTACACCCAACTTCAGATGTTTAGTCAATGGACTGAACTGGAGTCCCCATTCGTAAGTTTTTATTACACTGATTTCAGCTTCGGTTACCGTCATTAAAGAGACCTTTTGGCCGGCTCACTTTGAGATTTACTGGTTAGCTTATTGACACTAGGTAAACATACATGTACATGTACATGTATACACACTGTAGCATCACTACATTGGAAAGGGAGGGGCAGAAGAAATGTTGGTGACTGATAACAAACATGGAAAGGTGGGAATGGGAGGTGGGGTACCAGTATTGTCGAGGGAGGAGGGGTTGGGGGGGACTGGGGAGAAATTGTGACCTCTCACCCCTCTGGTAGATCCTCAGCCTTGTCATGCTGCCCTGGGGCATTGATGTGAATAAAACTAGCCCTGCTGGCAAAGCTGTCCATGCACTTTGCGTTCAGAAACTTTACCCAAGCTGTGTCTGAGAGAGCAAAGAAAATGGAAAAAAATGATGGAATAAATTGGTACATGTGTGTCAGCGCTTAACAGCATTCCAGTTGAACTACGTGAAAATTTCATTAATATGACATATGGGAAGGGCTGAGTGTGCACACTAAAATGTATGTGCCACATGTGTATATAAAGCTGGAACACATAGAAATAACATCCTTGGAAAACCACCTATGCCATGAGGACACCAAAAAGCCTCCCCAAATGAAAACTTCTGGCCTTACACTAAATATACTTCAAGAACCCCGTAAGCATTTTATAACCTACTGGCATGTGTGTACGTACTGCATAAGTAGACATGCAAGACTGCTTTTTTTTTTTTAATAAGATGTAAACCTAACCCTGGATGAGCTACAATGTGGCTGACTACATGACAAAGAAAATGTAACGGAACTGAAGATGAGATGTACCATAGAACAGCCCTAATATCAAACAAGTCTAGGCTCCAGATGTTATCTGATGTAGGTACACAATCAATCATCAGTTGAATACAATAAATACTGTATTGCATTTTTGCATAATGAGCTGGCTTGACTTCATGTGCACATAAATCTTTTATTCACCTATTTCGCTGTGTGTCCCAGTTTTAGGCTTATTTATAATGCAAAATAGGATTTCCCCCATCATTAACTCCACACATACATGTAATTCTACAGGAATTCAAGGGTACAGTGACCTTGTAATGCATGAGTGCTGATATAAACCCCTACAATGTAATCGAGTCAGTTCTTTAATTTCTGAGACCCACAAAATCATGTTTCATTTTGATGCTGATAGGTGACGTTCAAATTCATTCGAAGGCATTTGCACATAACATTTTCCCCTCATTACCACTTTATCTTGAGACTTCATTTAAAAAAGATAAAATAAATATTTACTTGTAGCAGACTACACATCTTTCTGAGAATACGGCCTAGTTCAGCAGAGCACTGCAGCATTAGCATACGGTTTAGCCTTGCCTCTAACGGGGAGTATTTTTCCTGATACTGTGCAGTAAACCCTGCCCTTGGCTGTCTTCATATCCAGGAGCCATGCATGAGACAGTAGACAGTGACTCTAATTAAAGGAGATTCAATTTGTGTGCAGTGGCAATGGGACCATTTAAAGCAAGGTATCAGCAGTGACGGCTGCTCCTTTATCCAGGCAGATCCTGGCATCATCCTATAATCACATGCATGACGTGATAACCTGCTGCCACCCAAAACCCGGCCCCCCCTCATCCCTGGACATGTACAGTATGCTGACTAATGGATGCCACTCTTTCCTGTCAGGCCCCATTAAACTATTAAGTAATTGCCCTCCTTTTTTTGGAAGGGGCTATCATGCCTCATTTCATGTACTTTATATGTATATTTGATCCTGACTTTGGAAGACATATACATGTAAATTTACAATATAATCCTCACATCATTATTGGTAATGAGAAATAAGAGTAGCTATTATCTACTGGTTCATCCATGTACAGGTGCTGGGCTTGTATCAGAAATACATTAAGTTAATAACCTGATCATGCACACTCTGTTAATGATTGACAACTACAAAATGCCACCCAAGGTCAGTGAGCCTTCAGCCATCACAAGGACGGTAAACTTAAGTGGGTCGCATTACACATAAAGGTACAGATGCACAACCATGGAGGTACATGTAGAAGCCTCCATGGTAGACTGTGTACTGTACGTACATGTGTACATGTACATGTACAGTACGTGGGTAGGCGTTCACAGCTCACAGCGTTCAGGGGACAAGTTCTTTAGTTAGGGAAATCTGAGCTCAGTTGTGGGGCCATTTCTGAGTCCCCACAACAGTTTTGGCCCCACAAAATGGGTGAAATGTCGAGTGTATGTCCCCACAACTACGGTGCGGGAGTGGGTGTACCTGGTACCAGTGCAGGAACACATACCATGTACATATGTACATGTACATGTGTACATTGTACATGTACATGTGTACATTGTACACATAAGTTCATAACTGCAGATGAGACCTCCATGCACACAATCACATTGTAGTAATGATCCTACTCACAAACTTGTCCAAATCTGATGGTTGTCCTTGTCACAAATTTGCAAAAGTTTGTTATCAAAAGGTGGATAATAATTTGATTGCCATCAGAAGACTGCAGCCACGTGACTAGTATCAAAGGGGGGTCTTTAGAGTTACGAGTGTGACATGAAGGGTGAGCTACTGCTAGTACTGACTTTGGGTGAGAGCCTGCTTAATCCAAGAGTCCTGAAACCTGACCTGCAGGAGAATTGCTACAGTGCATTTGTCAATTATGTTGTTTATGTCAAAAATGGGTTGGGTCAATCCAGTACTGCACATTCAGGCAAGCACAGTCTCTGAATGGGATATGGCATAGCATTTGCTGGCTTTGGTATTCTTTCATTACCTCATGCCCTACGTGTATGCATGTACTGGAGTATGTCAGGAAATAATGGGCAGGTAATCCTTTTCTCTGAGAAAAATTTTACAACCCTTTCACAAGCATTACTTTCTCCTGATCAGACTCGATACACAGTACAGACTCCTTAAATTGTCCTTTTTAAAAAAAATTTACAAGCTGTACTTTCAGAGGATTAACTGAGTTCATGCTTGTTTGTCTTGATACACATACTTTTCATTAATATTCTTAACCTAGTAACTCCCCTAGGGTGTATGTAAACTCATTATTGAAATCGAAGGATTTGGGACTGTTAAGGCTGTAACATGTGAACATACATGTAATTGTATCATGTACCAGAAGTATGTGTCCGAAATTAAATAACATGAAAATTAATGGATAAATAAGTATAAATATCATGGTCAAACAATGTATGGGTAGGCATGTTAGAACAGCAGCACACCTACCCCCTGTATGAAGAGATTTGTACACGTAAATCTAAACCCCTCAAGTCAACAGCATGGATCACATGTGATGTACATTATGTACATGTATGTACAGTTGTAGTATTCATTACTGTAATCAGGAAGTGCATGGTATGGTCAGAATTAAGATAACTGTCCCCAAGCAGAGGTACATGTACACGTACCGGAACAGTGTCTATATAAACCTGCCCCAAAGGTCCAGATCTGGGATTTTGCCATCCTTTGCGAGTTGTGTATTTGTAACTGAGACAAAATTAATGCATGTACAGTACCTACATGTACCGTACATCCTGCATCTAGACATGTGGGAAACACATCTACATTTTTTTATATGCACATGTACTGTGAATACACGTACAGTATGGCACACGTTCTTTAGGTTTTGCCTAATAATTTTAACAGACAACTTTTAACAAGGCAACATGTTCCAGTAATGCTGCAATTTTTGAAAACTGAAATTAATAACACATACATGTACATGTAATAATCAAATTTCATTTTGACTGTTTTAAGTATGACTATGAACACAAAACGGCAACAAACGTACTTTTATGAACAGGTGCATACATTATTCCATGAATGCTGAAAGGTTGGGGGAATTCACTACCGTAAGTCCCTGTTGATTGTCAAATTGGATGTACCCTCCCCGGGTACAGGTGCATGTAACCGCTGTGTTAGCATCCCATTGTGAAAACCTTTTGCAACTCTATTCGTAACATGGGCTGATTTTTGTTGAAAGCCCATTAAAGCCATTGATCACCTAATGATATCTATCACGTTTCAGTCATTAGTGTCTGGTTCCCTGATGAGACAATCTGATAAGGCTACTTTCTCAGTTCAGGTAAATATTGCCAGTCTATTGCTCAATGCTGGATGTCCAATCCTACAACAGCTTTGTAGATTTTTTGTTTGGAAACAGAGAGGTGATTTTGTTTCATCACAATAATGGCAGTGGTTCTTTCCAGACAACAAGCTCATTTACGTGTTCTTTATGGATATGGATATTTACAGATATCATGATAAATTTGTACCATTTCCTGCAAGTCTGCATGAAGTATCCCAAACTTCTTTTTTTTTTATTACTGGGGTACATTATCAAAATACCACTCTAAATTTACCTGTCCAACAGAAGATCCATTATTGAATCCTAAAAGTAGTGTGAAAGACTGCCATATACTTTTTAAATGTCAGCTTGCACTTAGTTCAGGCATCAATTATCCACAATGAAAGTTTTAAAAGACACTGTGTGATTGAAGCTATGCACTGTCAATGATGTGAAATACACTGGGCCAAGTTTGATCAGCCACAGTCAACCAGGGGTCAACTCACCTAGCACCCGGGATATTTTTTGTACACTGAATTACCAGGGAGAATTGACCAGGGGTCAATAAATGGTCACTGATTAAACTTGGCCATGGATGTGCAGCACTGCCGAAAGTTTCATGCAGCTTTTGCTAGGCCTTGTATAACAACTGATCTTTATATACATTGTATGGTGCAACTAGTTGTTAACTGCACCAAAGAGAGCATCAGTGTCACTTCAGATGTAAAATGGGACATTCACTCAAGCTCACCTTTGCCCAGCTGTGGCAGTATTTCCTTAGAGAGCATTGAGGAAGGGCTGGATCAGATGCTTACAAGGTTTTTCCCAGGTACCAGTAGGTACCAGTACCCCGGGTATCTCCCTGGTTGACACAAGGTGGGTATTAGTCACACTCCTAGATTGGGTGATCTGGATAACCCCTGGTCTCCCCCCCGTGCATGTGTACGTCGCCGAGGTCGCTGTTTTCATCGGCGCAGTGCCTGTCATTTTGCAAGAATCCTGGATGTCCGCGCTGCCCCATACCACTTTGCAAACTGCCAGATCTATGTGGTTTGGTTCAATACCAGTGCACGTATTTCAAGTGCTGTCTTTCAACATCCTGGGATCCTGCACTGAAGTGGTGTTAATTTTTACCTGCTTCCTCTATCAGAATCAGTATTTCTGCCAAGGACTCGGACAAGACTAAAACTCTCCAATCCCCCCCCAACAAACATACAGGTACCACCGAGAAAAACGATATGAGGTTTCTTAAATTAGCACATCACATCGGGATATCTTCTTGTTTAAAAATAAACCTGGCCACCACTGATGAAACAAGTTTACTTCAATTAAAATGGCCAAACTTTAGCTTCATAGTAAATAATTCCAGTTTAGGAACAGCCCCGACGCGGTGACCAACTGCAGATGTTGACTGGTGTTCCCCATCCAAGTCTCATGACTAAGAGTAAGGATGGTAATTATGGGGCATCAGTAATCACAATCACATGAAGCACTCTAGGATGTGAGAGGGGTTCCATGTTCTGTTCAGAGCCCATGATCCAAACTTGTCCAAACGGATGGTACTTACGGTTCAAGCCAATGTCGTGCATTGTGATTACTAGAATTTTATGGTGGTTTGTGATATCTCCCTGTAAAGACAAAAATGGAAATAATTTCAAAAATCCAACCAGAGCCATGCTCAATCATTGTCCCTGTACACAAGCTGTATACAATTAACATGCATGCACCACTTACGTGGACATGTGCATACTGGCATTTTAAAACTTAATTGGATTTTGCAGGGAGTACAATTTAGTTTGTCACTGGTTTATTATGAAAGGAGCCACTGTCATTCACTGCTTTCCAACCTCTGACAGTTGCCATGGTGATAATTTAATTTTTATGTTTGCCACTGTGTGGAGGATGGGGGTTATTTTTGAATGATTGATTTCTTCCTGACCTTAATAACAATCAATGCAGAATTTAGTGATGTTTTCAGTTCTGCACTAACTCATTCACCAACCAAAGGGGTTCTTGAAATTCTACAATGCAATCAAGCAAAGGCGACAGGTCAACAAGCTCTATGGCAATTCAATCACATCCCTATGCTTTATTCTTTTTTAATAAACCAAGGTTGTAGTGAATTTAAGACCTGCAGTATACAAATGCCAGAACTATACCTGTACACATATAGATTTGACATCAGTGGAATCCAACATGACATTGACAAGAGTTCATTTAGCTGATTTTCTCCTTCAGTAAATGTACTCATCATGTACATGTACCGTAAAAACATGGAAAATACCTCAAATGTATACTGTATACCTGTACATTACATTTATGTACCCATAAAATGTACTTAATTTACAAATGCATGTTCCTAATTCTCTTGTAAATGCACAAAAAGCCCAAATCTCTTTGAAAATGTTTTCTCAAGTCAGAAAACAGTTGAACTGTGTGAATTAAACTTGAAAGTTTTTCAAGTAGTAGGCAGTAGGCAGAAGTTTGCTCTCTTTCAGTTTTCGTTTGCTGGTCTGAAATTAGGAAAAACTTGGCAAACTCCTTAAATTGAACATATACATGTACAATTACATGGCAAAATGCTGCATACATGTATCTGTACCGGTACATTGCACAGGACTTCATTAACTTTTTCCTATTCACATAACAGGAAAAACATGAAGAAATCAGGGGATATGAGAAAGAGCTGCATACCTTACCTGTAAATATATGCAGCACAGTAAAAATGAATTTAAATGAATTTCAGACTGCTACTTTTCATGTCAACTTTATTTTCAGCTATAAAAAACAGTGATTTTACAGGGCCACCCGTTTCTGAGCATTTTACATGTACAAGTGCATGTAGGTCCTATCCCAAATGTGCATAAAAGCGTGACTGCAATGGCCGCGCTTCTTTACACCTGCTGCACACGTATGTACACATAAGACCCACACAAATCCCACCCTGTACAAGATTTACAAACACTTGATCTCTTGACCTTGTTATCAGGTCATGGACCAGTAAGCTGTGGGTGTGTGGTGCAATAACCGGGCTCAATGAATGGCAAGAAGTCTGCCCACACAAGACCAGAGGAGAGCCGTACATAGTATGTACATGTATGTACAATGTACAGTACTGTGGGTACTGGTAGGGTTTACATCCTAGCATGTCATGCATGTACATGTACCCTGAATACAAGTAGAACATGTACCACCCTACAGGGTCAAAGTACAATCTTGGTAAACTGTAACATTTTATGACAAGTTTCACATGTTGCATGCTTCCATACACTTCCGCTGGCCACCAATAGATGTGTATGGAATTCAATGAGACCAATAACTCGATGCATATTGCTGCACAGCCAATGAGGGTGTAACTTGTGTCTGCATAGCACTGTACAAGTACATGTACATGTAGTTTATTAGCACACATCGTGCACTGGTATGTACAGGTCAACACAGGACACGACAATGCATTAGGAAGAAATGATTCATATCATTTTAAGAAATGTGCAACGTTTGCTCGGATTTAGACATGCAGATGCAATGCCACAATGTGGAAACCTATCCCTGGGCTAAAATTTGTTTTAAAAAAAGGGAAGCTTCCCAATGTCCGAGCATTCACATAAACGTATAGTAGACCATAGTTTGTGAAGCCAATTTTAAAAGTTATTTTGCAAGTTCTCTTGGACAAGTACACCACGGAGGTAACATTTTTCTCTAGTGAGAAAACATTCATTTCCAACACCAAAAAGGTATTGTTTTTCTGAGGTTGTTTCCACAACCATAAATTCTCAAGGAAAGGGCCACGGTACAAACCGACAGCTGCAAAAAATACCTGTACCTAATAAGATGCAGGTAGGGGATCCTTAAGATCACATTTACCGACCTTGTCTTGAAGTGAAAACTACTTCAATTGGAACACTGACACACATGTACCGGTACATGGAGCACAATATTTGGATCCTGTGATTGGACGCTACCGGTAACTGGTAATCTATGGACACGTCCTTGCTTTGTGCGTGCCAAGTACCGGTACCATTATGCACAGATGGTGCATATGGCCATGTTTTATTCATTACAATGAGAATGACCTTGATTGTACAAGTATCCCCCTGAACCCCCCCCACTGACTATAATGACTTACTGCCTCCAGCCTTCAATACATATGCAAATCACTACTGTACACTCCGTCGATAGAGTACCAAGGTACTCCTGCTCTTTGGTACTGTACATATACTTCATCGAAGTAACGCTATCCTTGTGTCCGCAAATATTTAAAAGGCTCGGGCCATACAGGGAAACATGGCAGCCGGCAATTCAGCCCCTCAGCTAAGAATGATATCTACATGCCGATGCCGGAAAGATTGCGACTTTGGATATCTTACCTGCAAAAAGCAATTAAAATCCCCCCACTTCTCTGTCTTGACGACTTTCTCCTGCAAGGGGAAACACAAGAGAGAGAGAGAGAGAGAACAAGTCAGAAAAGCACTTAATGCATTTTGCCTACAGGAACTCACTCCTCATCAGGGAGAAAACTACACATACGTGTACAGTGTATGTGCACGCGATTGACTCAAGTGACTTGAATATGAAAAATATTACACACCTGTTTACTCCAATTCCAAAATTACTACAATTCAGTATTAACATGAATACATGTATGTGATCTAGAAGTTTGTCGGGGTGCTTTGTAAGGTAACAGAGGTTTTCCTCTCTTGTTTTTCTCTTATGGAATTTGTAGAACACGTACAATAATGCAATGTGGAACTGTATTTAGACTTACCAGTATCTTACATGTATACTTCTTGTACATGTAGTACATTTAGTTCACATGTAATACACGAAGTGCAACCATCATGTAAGACTTTTCCATTCCAAACTGAAACACTGCAAAAGCTAGTTGAGCGAAAAGGCCTGTATTTTTAGTCATTCAGCTTGAAGTTTGACAACAACAGAGTTACTGATGAATCAGACTTGTATTTATACACCTGGCCAGTTGTGGAAATGGACAAAAACACCACTGCAGTCCAGACATTTTCTGGGTGCCTGGATAAAAGGGCACAGTTGACTGACCACTGCTGTGTTTCCCCCGACACCGCAGGAGGCCCAATCCATTCTATGATTAATTGGATAACTCTGTTGTGAAGTGAACCCAGGAACAGGGATGTATCACCAGCGCACTGTAGAACAATCCTTTTCTCAGCACAAATTAACAGAAATGTGTACAATCCTTTCCCTGCACTGGCCAAGGCTACTAGTACATTTGGTGTAATATTATAAATGCAGCAGATGACAAACGTACACGTGTCATGCATTCCATTTTTATCATTGTTACAAACATAATACTGCACCACACATGACAGCTTTCAAATAAACTCACAATGAAAAGAGTTCCTCAGAAAGGGTACGCACAAACTAGACATAAACCCAAACAATGCCAAGCAACACATACCTGCATGTACACGTACATGTACTCTACTTGTATGACATACAGACACCTCTTTGATCATAATACAACAGGGCCCACGAGCAAGAGGAAGTGTGTTGTCATACAATGGACACCCCGCCCACTTCACTATTTGCCAAAATTAATGTACTAGTGCATATACATGTACCTTTACATGTACTGCAAGGAGCACATGTACATTGTACATCTCTACTTATGCACAATATCAGACCTTGATTGTCTGCTCCCTTCCTCTTTCAAAAAAATTTAGTGGAAATTTTCAGGGTACATAAACGAGAGCAACTTCTGAACTAAAGACGTAAATCAGTGTGCTGTATATGTCCATCAGTTCCCTAAACCACAGGACACCGGTCCAACCATCTACATGACTTCACTGACCAGTACATATTTTCTATTGTACAAGTCTTTTATAAAATTTTACATACATGTACATGTACAGAATAACTCCTGTAACTCATACAATGCACCATCCTATCGCTGGTCTTGATTTGTGAAGGAAGCAAGACAGTGATGTTCCCAGGACACCAGCCTAAAACAACCATGAGGGTGAAAGCATCACGTACATGTACAGTACAACTTCCAATTCCAAGAAGTTCCAATTCAGAAAATTTGGAAAAATTCCCAGTAAAATGACATTCGTTAACAGGTCAATGACTTTCTGACTACGGGTCACTTTTCAACCAGTAATCAGGTAAACACACCAGGACCGCAGCTTCAATATTCATCCACTGAAACATACACTGATCACCAGACCACAAAGTCCAGACAAGAGCAACTGTATAAGCCAAGGGTTGACTGATGTTGACTGATGTTTCTCAATTGAACTCGTAACGACAGTTGTGATTCCAGAGATTTCTTCACAGTGCATTTAAGCAGCTTCAAGTACACTGTACTATGAACATGTACCAATGCATTTATGCCTAAAACAAAAACTTACAAGAAAAACAAAGTTATTTAACCCTAACAGTCCTGAATCCTCCAATTTTAATATGATTTTGCACACACCCTAGGGAGTTAGGGTTAAAATCTATAAAATGACCACTTAACAACACTTAGACCTATATTTTGTACATGGTCCATTTTGGGTGTAAGCAAAATCTGCTTTCATTCTTTACATGATGTACATGTACATGTGTTTTTGTACCGATAGGCCTACATGAAAAAAACCCTCAAATTTACATGGTAACAGTACCTTAAAATATTGTTCCCGAAATATCAAATCATGGACCAAGAAAATTTGAGTTTATACTTTTCACATGCCTTCACTTTGAATATTTCATTCTTAATGAACACACCTTCTTCACGACCAAACAGATATGACCAATATTCAATCAATGACATGTCCATGATTATTGATGTCTGGAGAGAGGTTACAGTGGAAGTTCCAGCGCTGGACTGATGCCTGGTCTATTTGCCGTGAAGCCTCATTATTGTCGCTCGCTTTAGCGCAATTTCTTACATTTTTGACGGAGCATGAACACAGCGCCAGTGCACCATCGACATCCATTCCATTACTCCATTCACAAGAGGGACATCACCATGTCAGATATAAAAAATTTATGAACATACATGTACACATTAATACCAGTACATGCATGTGAGGGTAAACTACCACTGAAAAAATTGACTAACTTACCGTAAGCTTAAGTTCCCCTGGGTGATCCATTTTGTTTGTGAATATTACTGGTTGGAATATCACCAATTTGAATAAGTCACCAAAGGTGCAGTTGATAGTTTATTCTGCTGGGAAGTTTAAAATTGCCTCTGATAAGTGTGTAGTGCTGGATAGGTTTCAACTCATTCAACCACCATACATGTACAGTCTGTGTGCAGTTAGGTACAGTATACCTGTACATGTACATGTATATTCAGCTCATTGGCTACGTGTAGCATTCCCATATACTATTCCTGCTTCAATATGGTACCATCAATATGAAACTGTGCATAAGCAATCACCCATTTTCTTCACAACAATATGAGGACCGGCACTACCAAATGATGACGTCGTGCCGCCCAAGGTGACCTCATGAGGACTGCGGAGGGGGATTGGCTGCTGGCCACCTGCTCGGTTCACTGAGTATTCTTATGTAAATAACACAACCCTGGATGGCTGTGCTACCAAAGATTATGACAACCAATAAGCTAGCCTAACCAAGGACTTTTATGATTTGTTTAGGCCATAACACAAAGGGGGGATTTATTGCATTGTAAATCAGCAATCCAGGTCATGGGGGAGGTCAAAGTTGGGTCACTTTGGCAACCTGTACTTGCACCATAACTACATGTACACGCAACAAGGTCAAAAGGTAATACTGAGCACTGCTGATGGGGAGGACGAAATAATTACCCTGATTTGTTGAAAACCACATACATGTATATGTTTCAAAATGTCCTACATGTATGTCATACTGTACTGCCTCCCATCTCTTGTCTGATGTCCGTGTCTTGTTCCGGTCATTTTTTGTGGAATAGGGCAAGCCAAAAGCTCATTGCTTCTTTTCTCCACAAAATTATTAGACTTACAAGTAATAATGCATCATTTTAATCAATTCTGGTATCAAAATTTATATATTTATATCTATGTACCACAGATGGAACTTTTGATAGCGCCAACATGAAATAATTATTTCAGTTTCAGTGGACAATCCCATCATGTCTGATCAAAAAAATCATAATGGAGGGAGCATCTAAATAAATCAACTGGGCTACCTACGAGTAGGAACCAAAGCTTAATTTATCAAAAACCTCCTTGTGTACAACTACACTACGGTCTTTTTGCCGTAAACTAATTAAAGAAATAATAAAATAACTAAATTAGATGTGTAAAATATCAAGTTTAACTGCTGGTCCAGGGTTTACGTTCAGAACAAGTACTCTGTGGTTATGTAATATGTTCACTTGTACAAAGAGTGAAAAAGATGAACAATTCTGCCTTTTTAAAAAAATTCAAAAATACCAAGTGATTTGTTATAGCCTACATCTTACTCGGATTCGGTACTGCCAACTTAAACTTGAGTAACTATGAAAAATCTTATCTACCAGACAAATTCTAAACGAATAAATATATAGTACCTGGTTTAAAAGTGATTTAAAACCATTTGGGGTTATCTGCTGCTGGTAGGCAAATTTACTATGACAACATGGACAAGTCCTTTAAATCTTCATGGTACTCCGCAACCTGATTGATGTGCAGAAAGACACGACCTAGACAGCAGCAGTGTGCAACCAATTACAGGTCCAGCAGAACACAGAAGGTGCTGGGCAGCAGGCAAACGTGGACAGTTGCCATGACGAAACAAACAGCACATATGGCACTTTAATAATTAATATGCAAAGCTATCAAGCTACACGCTGATCTATGTGGGTATCTCACGACGCAGGCCAGGGGGAGGGGTTTAAGCAGATGTACTTGTGTGTTTGGATAAATTACTACGGAGATTTTCAAGTCCCAAATCACAGTTTGAAATGTATTTGATCCATGTACATGTAGGTATGTACATGTATTTGTTGACAATTCCGGCAATGTACATGTATGTTTTTTACTGTATATTCCGAGACTTGTAAAAAAAAAAGATGAAATTCTTTAATTTCAACAGGAAAGGGTTTGGACAACATTACTCAGGCTCCAAAAAGATAATGAGAACTGCAATATTCCTTTCTGGATTTGTTGCAAAAAGTATCATCTATATTCAACAGCCGATCACAACACATGTACTAAGTATCTCCTTGCAATGGTACATGTGTTTACGATGTACGGTAGAGACTGTTCTGAGCAGTGCATTGCACTATATTACGATCCTCTGACAAGGTATGGATACAGTCACTCAACTACTCTCTAAACAGTCGACCCCTAGAGCATGCACAGGCTGTATTGTTACCTACAATTTCAATATCAATAAGAATGGCATGGTTCAGGGAGATAGTGTTCTTTTACTCGGCTCCCAGTTCTCAGATCTTGAGTGTGCATGTTCATGTATCCAGCCAGTACATGATGGCCAAGTGAACGCAGATGCAAATTTGACATCCTTGAAGCATCCAGTGCAAACTTCATAGAGGCAAAAATGCAATTTCCTTAACCCTAACAGACCTGAATACCACCTACCGGTGGTACTAGTACTTAGTAGTAAAATATACCGCAGTATTCAGTGCTATCGCTTGTAAGAGGACACGACCTTATTGTTCTCTGAACGCATAAAATACAATAGATAAAACAATGTACCAGTACATTGTACCACACAGTGCTGTGGCACGATGAAAGCATGACTTTATTGCTCTCTGTTCAAGTAACAATGGTGGGTGCCCTAGCCAGAAGAGTAATTTGTAGTGCCAAGTCCTTCAGGCTCAGACTACTACATGTACTTAGTATAGTACAGAGTACTGTAAGCCAAACGATATGAGTGATCGTTAGGGTTAATAAATGAACCAGTCTTACCTGTACATATGTACAAGTATGTCCAACTTCCTCTGTACAACATACAACATACATGTACATGAAGAATTGCATACACGTAAACTGGTACAAGCATGTGCCCTAGTTATTCAGAGAGCAATTTCTTCCCAATGTACAATACCAAGGAAACACTGCATATGGTGAACCAATGGACCGCAAAATTACTTCACAGATTTACTTTTAAAGTGGACAAAAAAAAGAGGCCAAGTCGCACACACTGGCACATGTACCTGCTCCCTAGTTGATTCTGCATACGTACATCCATACATACTAATGTGGAACCTACCCATCCCTCTCTCCCCCCCCCAAATAAAACCTGCCTGGCATCCAAGTAAACTGCTCGCAGATGTACATTGTATGATGCTGCCATTTTGATGATTTGGATATGAACCTTTCATCAGACAAAAATTTCAGACTAACAGGTCTGAGAGCTATCGGAAAGGGAAGAGGAAGGGAAGCATACAAACATGCTTTGTACCCTGATCATGATGATGCACCGCCCACCACAATTCAATATCATGAATATCTGAGCCTGTAGGAGATGACATTTGCACATCCCTCAGTACAGCACCCACCCTGGCTCTCCTGCACAGGTTCAGCAATACGGGCAAAACAACCCAAGATCCATTTGGGCGGCCAGACACTCTGTATGCATAATTGGTGCTGGGTATATCTACCTGGTTTTTTTGAGGCTGCAGAGTGCACACACTGTGACACTAGTGCAGCGGGGGAACAAGTGCAATGTATGCATGCACGGGCTTGAGGGAGTTAAGTGTTGTTTTGAAAATGGAGACACCGTGCAGTGTAAATGTTTCTGATTCCCAGAGAAGTAATTGGATTACAGTGCATACACACAGTGACCAATTAGTGTTGTCTCAGCAAGATTCGGAGCTCTACTTAAAACACAGGCAGTTACCTTGTTGCAAACACGATGTGTATTTTTGTATGTTTTCTTAGCTTGAAAAATGAGAAAAAGAGATCCATCTGGAACGGGTTCTTAGAGACAGGATTGATGACTTTAAAATTTCTACAAATTCAAATGACAAACGACTCTGTGCATGAAAAATGAATTTCTGATTTCTAGGATACTGTACCGGTACATGCCAGAAATCTTTGACATTTTTCTTAAAATACTTGCAAAAGGAATTATGTGAACCCACCTAACAAAATGATGTGTCACACATCACCAGAGTCCATTTTGGGTTAAGGCATTTAAAGGACTCTGGCATGATATACATGTATACAAACTACATGTACAAAGCTACTGGAACCATTTTCATGTACATTATATTCATTTCGAGCAAATGCTACACTAGGGTAATAAATTGAAAAAAGGCATTCAGTTTGCCCTATCTAACGCAAACTGAAGCCAAATTAATGAAACAAGGCTTCAAGACCCATTTTGACATTAATTCTTCTAAAGAAATCTTATACATGTAACTCTTGGACATGTACCAGTACACGAAGGCAATGTGCATTTTCTCTCTTGCCATTGTTTTGTGTTCATTCTAAAATTTGAGTTACATGTATTCTGTCTCTCTTTTTTCCCCAGTTTGACAAGTCAGGATGTGCCAACTATAAAAAATAATACATGTTTTCTGGCTGAATTTCCCATTGACTGAGAGGCCATATCACAGCTTGTAAAAAGGATACAATTTATTTTAACCACTTGACAATGTGAAGATAAGTATTTTGAAACTATTAACTTACATGTAGCTACACAGAAAAAGATATCACAGGTATCAAAATTCCATGGAAACAGAGGCCTGACTAATCAGCTTTTAACCGCAAACTACACAGAGACAGACTACGGGATACCCGTAATTGTTGAGCAAATACTATCAGTCCCTGAATGCTACCGGTGCCTGTCTAAGATGTCTCGACTATACACACAACCAAAAACACAAGGTGTACTGGCAGGTTTATTGATGTCAGTTTGCTCAATGGTTCACTGACATTCTCTTTTCAATGCCTTGGTTAGGGGCACAGGTACAAGTACAAGACGTCTGCCTCCTACCCTCACATGCTGCGATCGACGTAATGGGCTATGGTGGGGTAATTGGTCGATAATAATTTTCTGTGCAGAAATTGCACGGTGCCAAGGTTGTCTTGTAATATCACAATAAATACTGTCAGAGGGTCCAAATAAACTGTCAGATACGAAACTGCACACCACAGGCACTCAACTATGGTCACACAAATACAGCAGCAGGTGTTAGACGCTGCATATAAGACAGCAAATGAGATTTTAAGCCTAGAGCTCAGTTTGTCAACTGTGTACAAAAAACCTTAACGGCACCTCTGACAGGGCTTTTCAAAATTAAGTGCCCAGCTTTTCCTATAGAAAGTTGAAGTGAAGAGCATTCCCTTCATTGTCAACCTTTGTGTATCAAAATGAGATGTCCAAAATAACCAACAGGGTGTCTAAGACATTCCCAGACACCCATCTCGCTAGAACCTTGATCCTGAGAACTATTAAATTTGCAATTAATTAAACAGCCTTAACACTAGCCCCAACG